CTTCCTTTTTTTTTTTTTTTTTTGATTCTAGTATGGCTGAAAACAGTAAATAGAAAAAGAGATTATTTTTTTTTCTAATTGGTAACAATATTTCTGTTGTGGTAGTTTTCATCAATATTGTTCAAAGTGTTTCAAAGGAAGCCATTACCCCCAGTTTAGAGATGGGGAAACTGAGGCACAGTTCTGTGCTTCAGTTCCTAAGAGGTTCTGTGCTTGCCCACAGCCTCTTAGGAAGCCAGTGGCAGAAAATGAGTAATCTCAGTAGCCCAAGTTGCTGGCATTTCATTTCAGTGCTCCGTCTGTCAAAACTGGTCTTTAGTCTTTGCAGTTCACCTCTCATTAAGATCCAGCTACTGCTGTGCATCCATTTCCTCGTATCAAAAATCTGGAAGCTGTTGGAATCTGAAAGCAGCTGGAAAAAGTTGGAAACAAAGTGAAAGCACTCACTTTTCATTCTGTAACTGCCTCTGCTGCTGGCAGGAATGTGGCTGTGAAGTGTGTGTGCTTAATGCCTGTGGACTCTGTCCTAGGGATGGAATTAATGAAAAACTCCTCTAAGGGAACTGGCTCCACTTTTTGGCAGCTGGTGGTAAGGCAGAAACCTTGGGATCTGCTGCAGAAGGAGCCTGGGCCAGCAGCAGCAGCTGTGGGTGGCAGATGTTAGGAGACACTGCTGCTAAGATCACTTGCTGGTCTCTGTGCCCTGCAGCAGAGTGATGAGGTGGTTCAAGGTACCATGGAAAGGTGTTTTTAGAGTATGGTGATGGACTGTGAAAAGCAGGAGACTGGGAGAAGATGTGTTGTAGGATCAGCAGAGGAATTTGTAGAGAATAGGGATGAACTCTTCAAAATTGAAAGAAATGTCAACCGTTGCTTCAATTGGGCCTTGTATAGCTGAAGAGATTAAAGACAGGACATAATAGCTTTAATCTTTGGATATTTGCTAGGTTTGAGATAGGTCATGGTTTGAAGAGATTGCTGTGCTGGCTCTCATTTGATCTACATGCTGTTATGCAATAGTTTGCACGCAGACCTTTGCAGGCAGCTGTGTGTGTCACAGAACATGCCTTGTGGAGAGCAGGGTCTCTTCTCTGTCCTCTAGACCTCTAACAAGGTAGAGCAGTTGAAATACTCAGAAGGAGAAAACCTCCTTCTTGTGCTGCTCTCCCTGGGGTCTCTCTGACTAAGGAGGTATTTTAGATAAACAAATCATTTGTCTGTGATTCAGGATGGGTTTGTAGACTGCTGGTATTGTGAATGCAGTCACTATCCCTGGGGCATATTCTTCTGAGTATAACACTGGTTCACCAAAGAGGATTAACACACAGACCTGAAAGGGTTTCTGAACTCCTATTACTCCTGTATCTGCTTCTTGCTGAACAGAGAATCATAAAAAACACTGGTTGGAAAGGACCCTGGAAATGGTTTTGTCCAAGATCCCTTTTCAGAGGATCATCATCACTACTCTGGTTTTGTCTAATTGAGCTGTGAAAATCTGAACAAATGGAGGTACAAAACATGGCAAAGTATATAGAAAAACCTGTTAGTCTCAAAGGATGAGTCCTGGAAACTGTGTGCTACTGAGGGTTTAATTTTGATTCCAAAATCAAGTTGTGGGTTTCAAAGGATTGCAGGACGAGATTTCATAGACCTGTTACCCTTTTTGCATGTGCATGTGCTACCTCTGTTTTTCCTCTTTCTTCATGTATTCTGACTGATGGATTTAGTGATTAATTGTCACTGATTTATGACTAAACTTATAGCAGATTATGCTGTATGAAGCCACATAAATACCAGACACACATCAGGTTCTGCATGCCCTGAGCAGGGCAAACCAACCATAACCAAAATAATGTAGGTGTCATCAGCAAAGACTGCTGATCTTAGAAAAAACTTACTTTGACAGGCTGGGAGTGTATCTAAACTGACTTGATAGGAGCTGACTGCCACGGAGTGATTCTTGTCTTCTGACTTTGAGTAATGCAAGCTGAGCCTGCATAAAATCTCCATTATGGAAGCACAGGGCTCCTGCTAATTCCTACCGACACCTGGCTCTGTGTGAATTGTCACACACAGCTCTTGCAGGAGTTGTTTTTGCTGCAGCAAAGAGAGCATTAGAGAGTCCCTAATGTGAATTAAGTGCTAGCACAGCATGGATGATGGGGTGAGTTACCTACAGAGCTGACTATGTTGATTAACGTGCAGTGATCAAATTCTCCCCTGGTATTTACGGTCTGGTACCTCCTCTGAACTAAGGAATTTGGAACATTTTTCTTTACTGTGGATGTCACTTCTGTTGCAAATCCTGCAAATAATGTGGTAATTTTGCAAGATAGATACCATGCAGTAACTGCAAACATCTAGAGAGGTCCTATCACTATCACTATCACTGCCCCATTTTTAACCCTCTGTAGTCACACTTCTAGTCATGGGAAAGCTGTTTATCATATCCTGCCGTTTTGTTTGTGAGATGACCAAACAAAATGTGGTTTCTGATGGAGTTGGTTCATGACTCTATTTGCTTTCAGACACCTTATGTGAACATAACGTCATGACTGTCATGTTCACCCATATTTCATTGCCGTGGCTATTACCACGCAGACAGAACAAGCCAGGGTTCCTGCAGTGCTGATGTTTAGCGTTGGTAAGCTTAAATGTTGTACTTGGTTGATCACTGTGTACCAGAAATATGAAGCTGTAGATCCAGGCTTTACATTTAGACAAATGGAAACTGGTTAATTTTGCTGAAACAGGCTTATGCATTTTTTTTAAATTTCGATTTATCCTGCCTCTTTCTAACTGGAACAGAAGGTATTTCTCAGCTCCCTTGGCTTTATGGAATGAGGACCAAATGACATACTCAGCCCAAAACATACTGGCATAGCTTTGAGATTTCAGCCATGCTTCAAGTACAGTACAAAGCTGTGGTGGTGCTCATGAACTAGATATAGCTTCATTTATAGCTCTCTTTCTTTTCATAGACTCATTTTAGTTGGAGAAGGACCTCTGAGATCATCAGGTCCAAGCTTTGACCAAACTAGTGCCAACTAAACCACAGCACTAAGTGTCATATCAAGTTGTTTCAAGTTGTTTCTTGAACATTTATAGGGATGGTGAGATATCATGTATAGAGAAAACAAGGAAGGCAAAAGTTCAGCTAGAACTCAATCTGGCCACTGCTGTGAAAGATGATAAAAAGTGGTTTTATAAATATACTGCCAACCAAAGAGGGACAAGGAAAATCTCCATCCTTATGGGATGTGAAGGGGAACATTATCACCACAGATGAGGAAAAGGCTGCCTTCTTTGCCTCAGTCTTTAACAGTAAGACTGGTTATCCTCAGGGCAACCAGCCCCCTGAGCTGGCAGAGAGGGACAGAGAGCAGAATAGGTTCTCCCACAATCCAGGAGGACATGGCCACTGACCTGTGCCACTTAGGCACTCACAAATCCATGGGGCTGGATGGGATCCACCCCAGAGTACTGAGGGAGATGGCAGAAGAGCAGAACAATTGGTAATTATAACTAAGCATATACGACAATTACATGCTTAGGTGCTTTATATCCTATGTGGAAAATACAGGACTTTGATGGACGAATTATCATGAATCATAGGTCTTCCCCATCCCCACCAGAGAAAGGAAACTCACCAAGTATTTCTTTTATTCTAAATGTGGAAATATTTTCAGTGTTGAAATAAAAAAATCCCCAAAAACTAACCCTGAAAATTCATCTCACTAAACATAGCTGATTTTTTATGTGAAATATTTGGAAAAGACTTCTGCTGATTTCTCCCATACTTTCATTTTATCATATAGCCAATGCTTACAGAATATGCATTTATTTGGCAGCAAGAAGCTTGTGGTGGTCACAGCCTGGTTTACATACCAGACTCCATGTGCAGTTACTGTTGTACACCAAAAGAATTCTATTTTGAGGTCTGTACTCATGGCTGACTTAAATGACCACATCTCTGTTGAACTGGCCACGATATTCTTTTTACCAACAATTCATTTAGTCTTTCAACCACTCAAAAATCTTCAGGATCGTGAGCTTTATTTCAAGCTCATAAATGGAACAAAACTGCACATCCCAGTTGAATATCAGTCTTTGACCTGCTCTTACTCTTTTCTTCTGTTTTTCTTAAATAATCACTGTAATGGAAGCAGAGCTGCTCTGGAGCAATAAATTATAAATGTTGTGCTCGAGTCTGCTGATTGGAATGTGATTGAATAGATAATTTACAGATGACTATTGAACAAAGAGCCTCTGGTGGCTCAAAATAACCCATTTCTTAGTAAACTCTTGAAAGCAGGGGAAAGATACTGCCAAAAACCCACTCTTTAAAGGCCAAGGTAAGCACACAGAGTAATAAAAACTCTGGCTGCAGAAATGAGCTGCTGTCTGGGTGGAAATGAGGGAAGCTGAAAGACCCAGATGGAGAAATGGACACATGCTGTAGGTGAGCAGTCAGTGGGGCATCAGCAGGAAAGGTTCACTAGGTAACACCCAGAAAACCTGTTTGTTCCCCAGTCCTGCATCTCCAAATGATGTCGCTGCTATTGATCCAACAGTGGGGTGGTGAGCAGTAGGCTGGCTGTGCCCTGCTAGCCTGGGCTGCAGGCTCTTCTGGAAACACAGAGCTGGGAGAACAGTCTTATACTCAGGTTTTTGCAGCTTGGAGTCTAATCTGAGAGCAGCAGATTGAGGAGCAAAAGAATAGTGCTTGGTGATGTGGTCTGAGACTGGGAAAGAAGGGGAAAAAAGGGGAGACCTGTAGATGTGATAAAGACAGTCCTGCAAATCAAACCCTGGTGACATGGTTCTGTACAGGGAATGCTGGGGGTATCCCTGCTTCTGCCAGCAGGAATGGGTTTTCCTTTGCAACAGGGCTGTGCTACTCTGCAGTGTATCCTGCACTGAACCTGCCCCTGTGTCTGTTCTCAACTCATCTCTGCTTCTGTTGACCAGTTCTCAATATGCTCATAGTGATGCCGTGGTTAAAACAAACCAGTGATTTAATTCTTGGTTTCACTTCTAAGTTTTCAGTATTACAAGGACATTACAAGTCCTATTAAGCAAAGCAAAATAAGCTTTAGCCTGCACATTAGTTTAGCCACAGTGAGTCACCATATAAATGAACAGTTCTGAAATGTACCCAGCTCTTCCACTGGATTTATGTTTCAGTACATATCATACCACAGATTCAACAAACATAGATAATTTTAAATTGACAGCTATGTACAGAATTATTATACAGTGTTATTACAAAACTTGAGAAATAAAGCTCTGAATTTTGAAAACACAGTACTGCACAGTCCCAGTTTTAAAGCCAAAGTAACATGATTCCACACGTTCTGCAGCTTGGACATAGACTCTTGAGTACAAGCAGCTGACAATGGAAATCAAACCCAGAGATTTACTACGGGATAAGCTGAAAATGTCTCCAATAGAGCACTCTGAAGAACCTCTTCTTTTTGCTTTAGTAAGAGAAACTAGGGCCCTGGTTCTCCAAAAGTTGATGGATGCATCAGTGTGTGTGACAAGACTACTTAAAACTACTGATGCTCTTTAACTTAATTGCACATAACCATCATGTAGGAACCAGACACTATTTATATGGCCATATGCTTACTAAAATACATATTTTCACTTTTTTTTCCCATGTAACCAATTTCCCTTGCTTTAAGTGATTGAGAGTAAAAATACATTTGTCCAATCTTGGGTCTTGGACCTGGTCCAATATAAGTCATCAGTGGGCAATGAGAAGAGGGACTTTACACACCTCCACCCATGATGGTACAGCCACTGCTTAATTTATACCTTTAATTTAGTTGAGGCACTGCTGTTTTTAACAATTTTTCGAGGGCTAAACCCCGCAGTCTGTTCTTGGGCCACACTCATCTGTCATTTCAAGAGGAGTTTGGCCTAAGAGCAGGTTGAAAGACTTGGCTTCCAGGACAGTGGATGGCAGGTCTGACCCTTTCACTGCCACTATGCACAGAACTATCCCCTGCCCCCACAGGTGCCCAGTGCAAGGCACAGGCTGAGGGGCCCAAAGTCTCTGGGGAGGCTCTTTAGGTCCTGGGGAGGGGAGTGAAAGGCTGCATGAAGAGAGGCTGTGGGTCTTCATGGGGCAGAAGCTGTCCATGGTGGCATTTCATTGATGCAGAAGCTGGAGTCTCAGAAGCTGGCAGCACTCCAGGGACACCTGAGAGGTTCTCTCATACCTTCTGCCTTGCTGTGACACCTGCAGGAAGAGGGAGAAATGCAAATTATTTGCAACTATGAACAAAAGTGGTGTGTTTTTGCATGCATGTGTATCTAATAGTTGAGGTCCTACTAGGGAAATCAGTTTAATCTGTTCCTCAGATAACATAAAAACAGGTAGTTTGATGTACTTAATAAAACCTTCATGTTTCCAGAACCAATCCTGATGTTCCAGAGTTTGAGCAACTTTGCCTTTAAGTTTAGTCCAATACCATATATCCTTCTAGGTATTAAATTGCTGAATTAACTAAATCTAGGGGATTTAGCAGGACTGTCAGAAGGATGGGGCAGCACACTGTAGCCTGTCTCACTCCATAACTAAATCAAATACCATTTCTAAAGGCAGACATGAAGGCAAGGGCCTAGCAGGAGGATGAGCATTAGACTGATGACATTCTCACAGTCCAGTTAAGAACTGCCCACAGACTATTCTGGGTCTGCAGAAGGGGAGGTGAAGCATCTGTCCCTCAAGAATTAAAGGAAAACCTGGACTCTCAATCCCTTCTATGTCTTTGCGGGGGAAGGCTGATGTGCCACTGTGCCATGTGCATCTCATAGCTGCACTTCTGCCCTTTCCCTCCCTCCTCCCCACACTGTGATCTCTGAGCTGGTCTGTATTCCCAGTTTGGTTTTTCTTTTATTTACTAGGGAACAAATTAATTAGATTTGTGAGCAGAGAAATTGCTAAAGCCCAGTTGTTTATGGACTTGTGTTTTCAAGGCTTTTCTTTCCCCTAACCATTCTAAGTGACATACAGAAGGGAAGAAAAGGAGAGCTGCATTTGTCTGTGGGAATTCTCTAGGGTCTAAGGCAGGCAAACTCAAAGAGCAGCTCTCTTGAGTTCAGGTGCTTGTACAGTCTCTCTTTTACTGTCACCTTTATAAAATGGTTCTTCAAGCTCTTTCTGGACTTGGCTGGAATTGAGTTGAGATGTTGTCAGGGTGCACACAAACAGTGTGACCACCAGTGCCTTGATTCCAGAGGAAAAACAGCAAAAACATTTCTTTCAAGAACATTAACATAATGTGGGATACCATTCTTTAGGAGTAAAAGCTGATAGTTAAAGACATTAACATTATTACAGAAATTGCTGTATAACAAGATATGGTCAAGGTGAGGCAAGAACTCAGTAGCTCATTACAGTCTTTATTGCTCTGAAATATTATCACAGAGTGTCAGGCTGTTCCTGCTCTCTGCTCCTGTTAGGGAAGCTCTAAAAACTCGTAAGGGGTTTGAATCTTGATCCCTGCAGCTGGTTCTGCACAAGAAGGAAGAAGATTCTTGTGGCTTCACTGAGACCCATTAACTTCCACATCAACAAATCCACCAGAGAAAGAAATATGCTGTACCAAAAGAGAACTAGTAGGGATCTGAACAGACCATGTATGCTTGGGAGAAAACATAAAATTAAAAAAAAAAAAATCAGGTGGAAGATCCTAGGAAAATATACTGATTGGTAACACTCAAGGCTTGCTGAATCTGTTTTATCAAGAAGTTCTGTCTCATCTGTCTCATCAAGACAGGAGCTGCATTTGGAGAGGAAGTTCTCTGGCAGGAGACTAAGACAAGCAAATGGGATTTTGCTTCTGCTGCCCTTGCTGTGTGACATAGAAAAGAAAGGAAAAAGAGAAGTGCAGGTTTCAAGGTGCAGCTCATCTCTGCCTTCCTGGCATCAAAGCCCAGGTGGGCTCTGCTGGTGCAATGCCAGGCACTGCATTGCAAGGATGCAGTGAAACCCTTGCCTGACTTGGCCATGTCATGCAGGTACTGTATGCCCATGCATTCCTCTGTGTTGTGTTTCTATGTCTTCCTAGGACAAAGTGAAACTATGTTTCATATATTTTTTCAAATACGACTTTTTTTAGGCCTGTATGCTTAAAAAAAATTTTGAGTTAAGCTTAACTCATGGTTCCAGCTGTCCTTCCAATGCAGCATGTCCACTGGTCCTGGCATACTTCTCACCTATGCTTCATTGCTACTATTTTCTGTTCCTGCAGGAAATCTTCCTTAGGATTTTTAAACCCACAGAGCTACTTTCACTTCATGTAATCCTATGGTACTGCAAGAAAAGTGCCAAAAGGAGGGCAGGAGTACTCAGGACTGCAACTAGCCAATGTATATCCCATTTTCTCTTGCTAGCAGTGATCCTCCAGGTGCAGGAACAAAAGCAGTCCTGTGGGGAAATCCTGCACAGATTGCTCCTGTCTCTGTGCAGGAGCAGGGCTCCCAGTGGGGCTACCAGCCCCAGGGAACTTGGGCTGCTGGAGAATAAATACATTCCTTTCAGGAAGCAAGACAAAGAATGATTTGATAATATTGATTTAGTTCATAAGAGATGCTCATCAGCATGGAAAGGACAAGGCGTAACTATGCAATTTCAGTACAGTGGGTGTTTCAGTTGTTTATTTTTCTTGCTTTTCTTTTCACTTGCTGTAAAAACAGGGGAAGTTTTGCAAATTCAAGTCTCATCCTGGAATTCCTTTTGAGGGGCAACTGTATGTTGCCAGCACCAGTGAAGGATGCAGGGAACTTGTGTGCAAGTTAGAAGTTGAATTTAGCTTTGAGTGGGAGCTGATATCTCGCCCCAACTAGTATTTGTCCCTGGGTCCAGTGTTTTATTCTCTTTTCCAGATACCCATATTTAAACAGTGCTATAGAAAGCGGTTACCCACAAGCAAACCAAATGTTCTTTGCTGGAGGTAGGTACTGAAATTGCATTTTTACAGTTTTTGAGAAAATAATGTGATCAAAGCAAGGACTTTGTTCATCACATGAAGTTTGATTGTTTGGTTAGAATAATGGCTCTTAATTATCTGCAGGGAGAAGCAGTTTGGCTGCTGCTGACACAGAGGACAAACATGTGGGCTGTGACCCTGTGTCGAATGGAGATAAGCACTGACTCCACTCAACACAAGATCAACACCCTGGAGAGTAAAAATCAGAGTAACAAATTTATTTCACATGTGTTTGTGATTAGACACAAAGACAAAAAGCTTAGATGATGTGTTGAATACTGATTAGGTCTGTGAAGTCCCAGTGTTGTGGTTAGTTCACAAAAAACACTTTTGTAGTTTACATACCTCATTGTGTCACACAATCTTTTTTTGTTTTATTATCTCCAGTATCAGTCTCAACCTCTGCTTTTGAACAAAAGAGAGATACTAAATATATCTGATCATGGCAAGGCCAAGGTAACAAAAGGGAACTTTTTATGATGAAAATACTGTCTAGTAGCAGAGAGATTCCTAAGAACATAGAAACTTTGAATGGTTTGTGTTAGAAGGGACCTTAAAGATCATCTAGTTCCAACCCCCTTGATGCCATCCCTGGATTCCCAGGGAACTCTGTGGCTTTTGCAGGCTGGGATCAGTTCTTAAGCCAGAAGTCCTAATTTCAGGTGTCAGGAAAGCACTGCCAGGGCTGGGAGCATGGGATGCTCCCATTGCTGCAGCTTCTGCTCCTCCAAAGAAGCAAGTTTGGGAACTACTGTTCTAGGAAATCACTTTTGGTTTGTGGCTTGTTTCTAACTAAGGGAATGTAGCATGTTTAGAAATGTAAATAACTACAACCCTGGGGCATGCTGCATTAAAAGGGTAAGTCCCTCTGTGGCAGCTGCTCAAACTATGCTGTTTTTCTCAGCAATGGGTATTCAAACCCTCCTTTTCTTTCTCCTTCACCCTCCTTGAAAGGAAACCATCAAGCATTGGTAGAAAAAGACTTTCCCATTTGCCTGCCCATTTGACCTCAGGATCTTGCAGGAAACAGGCTTTGGAAAGTATGCTGTAAGTTCTAAAGGCTGGCAGACCCATCTGTCTTTCCTATGAGGCATCTCTAATTTGGGATTAAGGTGGTAGGATCTAAAGGACTTGGACACTCTTCCCAGGTTTGGGACTGGCTGAGGACTTTTGGTATTAAGAGGAGGCCTGTGAGCTCCCTCCCAGTCCCAGCAGGGCAGCCCAGCTGGAGGATTGATCCCTGGTAGAAGCATCAGCAAGATGCTCTTTTTCAGTGACTGACCTCTCCCCCTCCCTCTGCAGCGATGGTTTGAGGGCCATCGAATGTTTAGAGGCCACCTAAAGTACCCCTGGGGCAGGCTGTCAGCCAAAGTGCTGTTGGAATGAGGGGAAAAACCAAACAACCCCAAGGCAGCATTGATGTTGCTGCTTTTATGTGTTTATAAGTAGTTCAGAGGGGGTGATTGCTGATTAAGTACCCAGTATTAAATGCTCTTAATCACTGTTCTGGAGCCTAATGGAGCTCTTGTTTGCACATAACTGTGCCTTGTAGCTGTCTTTAGCACACTTGACAGATGTGCTTATTGCCATCTTTACTGTGTATGTATAATGGGCTTTTTAATTATTGATTCATCATTACTCCTTTATAAACTACTTATACATGGCACCAGAATGAACTACGCTTGTGTTTTTCTTTTTAAAGCTCTTTCAGGTTTAAAAAATATAATAGCTGCATGAAATAGTGTGACTCCAGGGGCAGGGGGCATCAGGCCTTGAATTGGAAAGAAACAGGCATATACAAATATATCAGGAAGGTTCCCACATTTAAGTCAGTCCCCGAGGGCTATTTATAAAATTGTCTACCTGAGTAGCTTTTGCTGTGCCTCTTCTTCTTCTTCCGTTTCCCTGATGTCCTCTGCTTTTCCCTGTCGCTGTGAGTTTGCTCTGGGGGAAGTGTTGCTGAACAAGAGGAGTCAGTGGCTGGCTCTTCTGAGAAGGACTTGTCTTGAGAGGTGTCCAACAGTGAGTCTGTACCAGGGTCTTCATTCTCCTTCGTCATTTCTTTTGACTCTGCCTGCTGAGCCTCACTGCAGGGAGCAGACTGAGCACTCTCTGAGCCCCCAGTTGGGCATTCCTTGTCCTGGCCTCCTGACATGGACCCGTTAGTCCAGCTCACTTGGTCTCCCAGAGCAGAGGCTGAACTGCTGCTCACAAAGCTTATCCTTGTGCCTATGTCAGCCACAGAGAAGGCAAGGGAGCCGCTCTTTGTGCTGGGCTGGAGGCTTTCCACGCTGTTTGCCTGCTCCATCCCGGGGCCCAGCATGGTCTGACTGGCTCCATCATCTTCCACCATGCTCACTGAGGGGCTTTTGGTCTGGGACTCCAGTGGCAAACTTCCTCCAGCATTGTTTTTAGATAATACCTGGCCTGAAGCTGAACCATTTGTAACACTTCCACCTGTCTCCATCGGGGCAGTGGTTGAGGGAGGAGTGCTTTCTGAGGGATGATCATCCTTGTTTTGCTTGGTCTTGTCATCAGCCTGCTTCCCTGCTGCTTGTGGATCCTTTCCTTTAAACAGAAAACACACTATCAGCCACTGCTGCAGCTCCACCAGGAATCAAGCAAGATGCCCCTACCCTGCAGAGGTCACAGGTTAGCAGCTGCCTGTGGAGGGAGCACTGACCCTAAAGCAGCTGTGCAGAGGCAGCACCAGTTTATCCTCCCTGTACCTCCCCTCCTTATACCCATGTGGTCACCTCCACTGACTCCCAGGCTCCACCTCAGCAAAGCCCCTGATCTGTTTTCAGCAGCTGTTAATGTGTCTTTGCTGCAAAACGGCTGATTTCCATGGTAGCTCTGGGACTTGTGAGGAAACCTGAAAGTCTATGTCAGAAGAGAGACCCTGCCTGTGAGGTTCTGGACCAGGCTGGACTGATGGCTTGTCTGTGTGATGACTTCAAGGCTGCCCATTACCAGCCTTAACCCGTCCTTGCAGAGCAGGTCTAGGAGAGCCATGGATAGACCAATGTCCTTGGACTTATCTAACTGCACTGACACTGAGGTCAAGAGACCAAAGAAAAGCTAAACCCATGAGCTATCTTCTCACAACACCTAAAGCACTTGGGTACTTCTGCAAATAGGGTTTACCTTTTTTAAGAGGCTTCTTCAGTCTCCCAAGTGTAGACTAAGATGGGATGCAGCAGTCTCCAAGGCAGAAATACACTGGGCTACTGAGACTTGAGAGCATGAAGGGGACCATCAGCATGGTACCATGGCTGGTGTACCAGCATGGTACACGTGGGTCAAGCACCTCAGAGGGTTTATCAACACAGATGCAGGTCCATGCTGCTCCAAATTCCTGCTAATTTTGTGACAGACCTGACTAGCAACAGCTCAAGTGTCTCTGCTCCTCTTCTCCTTGGCACTGGCTGCAAAGCCCTCTTAAATAAAATGCCCCAAATGCAAACACAAAGGCTGCTTGCTGGTGCATGCTTGGCTTAGGCTCAGAGGCAGAAGGGAATGAATAGCTGCAGGTACAGTCAGGTCTGTGTCCTTACCAGACTGGCTTTCCTCTGGGCTCTCTGCAGACAAGGCTTTAGGAACTGCATCTGACTCGTGTCTGTTCTTTGTCTTTCTCAGCGTGAACCCTTTCCTGATGTCGGCGAGCAGGGCGTCGATGACACACACCTCCTCCTGCTTCATCAACCCCTTCTTGACTGAGGGGAAGAGAAACGGGTGTTAAACCTGCCCATGAGATAGGGCAGGAGAAGACTGCAGTGATGCCACTGCTGAGGTGGCTACTGCTGTCCCAGAATAAGCAACCACTGGGCAGGAGTAAGGCACCTACACCAGACCTGGGAGCAGCCCGTGCTCGTGATCCCACAGCAGCACATCCTGGCTGAAGACAAAGGATTTGCTCCCAAGTCTTGGTGCTACAGCCTGGCACCAGTGGCACCAACTCTGTCTGGACATGCTCCTGGTTGTACCATGACCTTGAAATATTCCCTGTTTGTTATTGATGTTGGTGGGAGCCCATTTTTTTCCGGAGGAAAAATAATTTTGATTTTTCTTTCCTCTCAGCTTCTTCCAATTACATTTTTCAGTCTTTCATTTGCATCCAGAAGAAGGCATGTTTAAGTAACATGAAGATTTTTGGAACAACTGTGGTAAAGAGAGACTATTCAAGCATATACAGGGACCTTGGATGGTGGATAAGTCAAATGTTTCTTTTTAGATCTGGGATTCAAAAGTTATGTTTAGAAACTGAAAAAGTTAACTGAAATATTTAATTTGTGGTGGTTTTCTTTCTTCTTTGCTGTTCAGTCAGCAAACCTAAAATTAACTTCTCTGCCCAGCTGCAACTATGGAAAGTCAATACTTAGCTATGGCTGGAAGACACCTAAAAGCCTTTAGTCAGCCAGCACCTGGAAACCTACAAAATAAATTACTGCTACTGGTCCATTAAAGCAGGACCAGCAAAGAGCTCCTATGACTCCATCTCTATTTTTTGAAGCCATTTCAGATACTCACTGACTTTTCCATTTTCTCCCTTCTGTCTCTTCCCCTCTTCCTCTTCTAGCTGTTTTTTCCTTTTCTCTGCTTTGGCAGCTTGCTCCTTTCTGTCCTTGTTTTCCTGCAGTGAGGTAACAATGGTATAAGAAGGTTGGGTAAATGTCTGCTAGAGAAGCTAATGAAGAGAAAGAAGATCTATAGATGAAGGAAGAGAAATTCTGGCCTCATCCTGTCCAATAAATAAAATGCGCATTGGGAATAAGGGCTGTCTTACCAAAACGGTGAGAGGGGACTGCTGACTTGGCCAAGACTCTGCCATGTCCCAGGTGGAAGTGGCCGTGGTGATATGCCTCACACAGCTACCTGCACTGTGCTCACCTGCCTGACCTCTAGCTGAGGTGAAAGTGGGAGATACTGAGGCCACAGTTTTTTGCAAACAGATGGCTTTTTTACTACATATCTCTGTTCTGTTTGCTCAGGTTGGACCAAAGGGTTAAGTTTTGTAAACCCTTTCTCTGAAACTTGCACACTTGGCCCAACAGCATCTTTGTGACTCTTCAGCTCAAGTTGCACCAAAATCACAAATTCCTGGTGTTTGGGCCAGGCCCAGCAGCAAGAGAACTGCATGAGGATGCAGTGGAGGAGAGATCAGACACTGCTTCACTGGGGGACCTCATGCCAAGTGCCAAAAGGAGGAGGCTGTAACCAGGTTCCCCCCTGGATTTGGGTGCCCATCCCACCCCTGTCCATTGGAGTGGAGGCAGCCACCAGCACTAGGGATGATCAGCATCCTGTGTGCAGACACCAACCTTCAGGGCTCGGATGAAGAGATCTCTGAAGGTCTTCATGATGCTAAATATGTCCTCTAAGGACAACTTGCTTGGGTCTTCGCAGAGATAATTTGCAAGTTCTTCTCTCTTCTTTTCAATGGTTTCAAATTCTTCTTCTAGCTTTCTGGAGGCATCAATGCTGTCCTGAAATGCATTAAATGCACACAGTAGAACACCATCCAGAGGACAACGAGTAAAGTGCACTCACAGAAAAAGGATTAGAGCTTAGAGCAGGATTCTGCGTCCTGGCTTTAAACTGCAGCAGAGCTTTTGGGAAGCAAGTGGGAAGAAATTAAGATTTGCAGATGACCTTTACTCTTGGCAACTGTGCTGTGCCAGTTTACAGGGGTGGTTGAGCAAGACATGCAAAGCTCCACGCAAAGCTTAATCCCAAGCAAAGGGCTTCATTCTGCTGATCCACACAGAAGGTGACCATCTTCTCTTAAAGTGAGGAGTCACACAAAAGCATGGACAGAGCAGTTGGGGCACACACCCTAAGAAATGGACTCACCAAAGGTATCTAGGTTTGGGGTACAGCTGGCATATGCACATTTGGATTGTGTGGCATTGCAGCCTATTTCCAAATCTGAGAGCATGTCTGTGGCAGTATTTTCTCTCCTCTCATGAGGCTCCTAAGCTGCAGATGTACAATGCACCATCTCTCTGTGTGTAATGGGGGAGATCTAAGGCAGCTCCATTACTGACCTGGATGGGTTTCTCATATTGCTGTTTCACATCCTCATTTGATGATAAGACTTTCCGCTGAAGCTCCAGCAACTTCTTTAAATTGGTACCGGACTCCGTGCGTATAATATCAAGATTAATTCTGAAATCACACAGAACCCTGCCATTAGTTGACACTCCAGCATATTGAGCTGACCAAGGAGTGGACAAGTCTGAACTGGTGGTTAGGTCACCCCTCTGCTTCCCACCACTTCACTGGACTGAAAGCTGTGCTCTGAATTCTCTATACAGTCCAAGCTCATGGAAAAAAAGCTTCCCTCCACAGAACTTATGGAAAGGCTGCCAGATCTACCTACAATTTTGTGTATTGGGTAGATGAATAGCAGAAAAGTCCACCCATTCAAAAGGCTGTTCTCCACTTGCCATGCTCAATATTAGCTCAGTTTCCCTGCCTGGAAGTACTTCAGAAATGCTTTTGGGTAGCTGGCCTTTACCAGCTCCTGCCACCACAAGGGCAGTGCACATTTCAGAAGGGTCTAGGAGGAAGTTTTAACTGACTGCTCTGCAAATTTCAGTCCTAAGTGTTGCCAGCTGTAGTAGAATTATTATATATTAAAGGGCTTTCAACATTCATCAACCAAATCTTTCAGTTAAAACTATGTAAGATGCCATCTTGTTAATCTCTACACCAGCTGTGTGTGTCCTAATTTCTGGTACATTGTTGATGTGCATGGGATTTATTTTTGTTTTTAATTCAAAGGAAGTGACACACAATTTTACCCTGCTGCTTTTGAAACATATTCAAGATCCTTTGGCAGCTCCAGTAGGTCCTTGTGGCTGTTTTCTACTTCCTGAAGAGGAAGAGAGAAATAAGTGTTATTTGGTGTGTGGCAGGAGCTGAGGGGAAGCTGGACAGAAGTGTCCAGGAAGGCTGACTGTGCTGTGTTCTGTCCCCCAGTCTGTAGTCTGCACATTCAGAGAGGAAAAGCATTTCCCGTGGCTATAAAAACAGAATAGTGCTGAACCCTGAGAAATATTCATAGTTCAAAGCAAAGCAGAGCTCTTCTTGAGCATGGGGGAGGCAGGACTGTGGTTTGATGCAATCTGACACTTCCTATGGTCCCAGAAGGGTACTAAAAGGCCTTCAATCTTGCATTCTTTACTTTCACAGCTGTCCTTTCTGCAGCTACTGCCAGCTAAAGCACAGCTTGAACATGCGTAACTGAAACCGAGGGACATTGATGAATGAAGGCGGCAGAGAGAGCATGGAGAAAAAAGATAAAAACAGCATTGCAGGGAAGAGGAAAGCCGTGGGGGCTTGGAGAGAAGCATGAAAAGTCTGAGCACAGTCTGGAGGAAAAGGGAAAGTCCATGGAAAGGCAGAAATGCTGAATGGGTACAGATGAGCCAGGACAGCTTTGTGCCCCGTGGTTTGCAGCTGCTGATGTGCAGATTGCACAAATATGAAAGGAAGTTGCAGACATGTGGGAAAAGATGCTGGAGGGAAGCAGAGCAAGTCTTAAAATAAGGAGCAGTGCCCACAAGCAGCCTCCACCAGAGTCACCAAAGTGATTCAAATGCTCCTGACTTGTGACACTCTGGGGCTTGCCAGGGAGGATATGAGTACGAGCATGTGGCATTAGCCAACCGTAGAGTAGGAGAAATGTTTCATCTGTGGTAAAACCCTCCCTCTTCCCCACTGTGCAGGACTTGGCAGTGGTACCTCTAGAATATGGTGGAGCAGTGTAATGCGGGTTTGGTTTGCTTTGGTTTCTGTTAGTTTGAGTAAAGTGCTGATTTTAAACCCATCGGCATCGCCTGTGTGACTTCCCTACAAGAGAGAAAAAAAAGCAGATGTAACTCCTGTGTCCATCACCATCCAAATTACAACCTTAAAGGAGATCATTCACATGTAATGAAGGGAGGAGAAGAACAAAAATAGTCCTTACGTAGTTCAGGAAGTTTCCAACTTTGAGAATCAGCTGACAAAAGACTGGCAGGCGATGACTGGTCAAAAGATCTGAAAAACATAAGGGACTTTTAAGCAAAAGCCTCTGTTACATCAGGACATTTCCTAAACTGCACTGCAATTGGGATTCTGAATTCCACTAAATCACGTTTCCCAGTGTGGGCAAGGGTAACTGGGCTGCAAATTTAATCTTGCTGACTTCATTTAGCTATGCTGTGAAGCCAGTTCTGACTGCCCTATGATTACCTGCCAGCTGCTAAAACCTAAGACACACTGACCCTGTTCCTGGTCTCTCATGGTGGAGGTGATTATCCACCAGACATGAAGAGGACAGTTCCTGTCCTTGCTCTTACAACAGGGTGCTGCAGTGCTGTGCTTTCTGAAGCACTCAGCTTTGAGGCAGGAGCAGCTCCAAAAGAACAACTGGGCTGCTGGGGAATCACTTTGGGGGAAATTTCAATTTATCCCAGCAGACACCTGTAATGCCAGCTGGAGAAACTCCCAGCAGAAGTTGGGGGAACTGGCTCTGTAGGATAGGTGACACTTGGCAGTGCCAAGAAGGGCATACTGCTCTCAGAGGAGTGAGACCAAAGGTTTCTGCCACACGAAGCCAAAATCTATTCCATAAATTTTCTGTGTATTCACCATAGTGAAGCATCAGCAATTTATAACCCAAAATAAAAACCTTTTTCTTCTGGTTCCATTTCTAGGCAAGGAAATACTAAAGCATTGCTACTTTCGGAGGAAGTTTGGGGTAGGCTTTTCTGGCAGCAGAGAAAATTGCTGTATGAAGTTCTTAATTTGGGAAATAATGCTGGATGGATGAATTAGCTGCAGCAGGGCCAGCTCTGCTGTCTAAATTCAGCTCTTTGAAAGGGCTGATGAACTGCCAGCACTTCACCATTCAAAGTGTTTCAGAGGAATACATCTGCTGCAGAAAAAAAGGGATGAGGGTGAGAGAAAATGATCTTTGGTCCTGTTAAGGGCTTTGACCATCAGTGGAGATACGTAAAGCTGCATCCCATTTGCAGCAAACCAGTGAATGGACCACACAGGAATTCTTTGGGGCTTGGGCTGTAACACTGCAGAATTCCAGGGAAGTTTTGTGAGGGTTAAAATTCCCTGTCTTAAATCAGACGCAGAAATAAGCTCAGGCCATCTATACCTTCACAGGCTCTCCGGATGGCTTCAGCTTTGGGCTGAATCATGTCGAGCACGACGGTGGTCTCTTCACAGATCAGCATACACTCAATGCGCAGCTGGTAGCTAAGGGTGGAGATGGATTCACAGCATAAAGATCTCCCGGGATCTCGGCCAGCAGCCCCTTTCCCCCACCACCAGCCAGCCATGCCCCCCCACAACACTCCTGTCCACCACAAGCACACCAGACCACCAGTGTGTCCTGTGGAGGGAGGCGAGGGGCTGCTGCTTGCCCTGAGGACCAGCAGGAATGTAGGTTCTGCTGATGCACTGCGATTAGCAAAGAGAAGAGTTTCCTCTTGGCACTGCATTTGGCACTGCCTTTCACTAAGTTATGGAGCCTCCTAGGGCAGATCTGACCCTGAGTCTGGGCCAGCTTCTGCTGCTTCAGAGGGAGAGGAGGTGCTGGATCAGGAAGAGCCCTTCATCTAAGGGTGACAGGGAAAGGGATAGCTCCAAGGTGGAAGGGGGGACTCCACCAGTTATATCCATCAGTCTTGGTCTGTGAGGTTCCTATAAGGAAACTTACACTTCCCACAGGTAAATCAAGAAACAGCTTGGGCTGAAGTTCATGACCAACAAACTTACCTGGGAATCTGAAGGAGGAGAAGATAGAACTGATCTGCATTTGCTAGCTTTGATTTCTCTTCTTTGAAGGCCTTCAGGTTTTCTATCTAATGAGAAATAAAGAATCAAGACTGCAGGGTTGCACTATGTGTTCAGCTCTCTGAACCAAGGATACTGTTTTCCTCCTGACCTCATGCTTTTCAGGCAGCAGCTTCAGCAACTGCTTCAGAACCTCAACATCAAACTTGGTCCGGTCCCCATTCTGGATCATGGCAGTCACCTCTTCATTGGAGCTGCAGGGAGAAGGAGCAGAGCCAGCCATCAACCAAGGACCACTTTTCAACTATCACACACTACCAAGAGATTTATCTGTGCAAGCACTCTGTGCTTTCCCTAGTAAAGAGCGACAATAATCCAAAAGGAAAGGTATCTCCCCACAATTAACTTAGAATGACCTGGATCCCTGCTATGACCCAAATCCTATTTCTGGCCCTGATCAAGTGACTCAAGGCCAGAGATGAATCCTGCAACTGAGATCCTGTCTCTGAGCATTTTTTTATCTTAAAAGAGAACTGAACTCTTCCTTTGTCTATTGGCTCTGATTTGAGGACAGATTTGACCTCCAAGTGTGTCTCACAGTCTAGGTCACCCTAAGAGTCTGTGCCACAGCTTTATCTGTAAAATGGAGATGTAACTCCTTTGCCAACTTATGGGGAAGTTGTATGTAAAAACATAACTAAACCCCTAAACTCAGTATTTTAAAGACAGTGTAGGACAAAAATGGGGAATGATCAGACGAATTAGCAGTATGGACCACCAAAGCATATTGCTAAAACAGATTTCATGAGGACCTTCCAGATATTGCAAAACCTGCTCAAAGCTTTGTCAACTCTCACGAAAACTGGCCATATCTTACCATTTAAATTGCTTCAAAAATATGTTCAAATTGAGACTTTTCTTGGAGTCCAAAAATGTGATCTTCATTAAAGAAAAAGAAGATATCTCATATTAGATGAGCAGTCTGCAGGGATCTTTACTCGAAAAAACGAGGCGGGTCTCCTCACCTCCTTCGGCTCTGCCTTCACTGGTGCTGCTGTCTTCTCCTTGGGGGTTGGCTGTGGGAAGCAGAACAGCTGCTCAATGCTGCTGTAGTTGGGCTCTATGGTTTCCTCACTGCTGCTGCTCACAGAAGCCCACATTGAGTGGCTCTCTGAAAGAAAGACAAAGTGCTCAGACTGGCTGCAGGGACACCTGAAAGCTCCTGGCACCTGGGGCAAGGTGAGCTGCTAGCAGGGACACTCTTCAGAACTTGAATGAAATAAGAAAACACATATTAATCCTGGATAAAGGGTCATTATTGAAGAGGGGCAAGTGCCACAGGTGGGATTCAAAGGGCCTGAAGGGCAATTAAATCTGGTAAGGGGAGGCAGCACTGGGCACACAGAGGCTGTACAGCCCCATGCCTCCCTGTAAAACTGTGTTTTCCTCCATGGTGGGCAAACTGGATTAGCATGACAAGGACCTCAGACATTTCTTTCTAGTCCCCTGATTGATATTATTTTTTGCTTCCTTGCATCCTAATGGGGGGACTAGGCACAACTTGGACATTTTCTGACTGTGTCCTTCTCTGTTTTTCATTTTATACACAAGTCTCTTTGTATAATGCTGGCTACAGGACTGCCTGAATTAATTTCTACTGCAATTTCTTATATCTTAAAATAAAATCATCACCCTAACATGCCTGTAGAAGCCTCTACTGAAATAATCCCAACATTTTACTGCTCTTGTGATTGAAGACATGCCTTATTTAGATTTCACCTCTGCCTACTTTCATGCAGTGGATGCCTTACTTGTCTAGGACAAAGCTGACACAGCTTGTCCCAGCTTCTTCTCACATTTCATGCTCCACTTTGAATCCACGAGTAGAGGGAAATGCAACCCAAAAATCAAGAGATATGTGATGTGATCCTCCCATGCACTCTTACTCATGACTTTAATGTACCCAGGTACAAACACAGATAAGCTGGGTAATAAAAGTTTGGGGAACTCAGATCAGAGCCTAAGGCACGTCATAGTAAATCAGGAAAATATTCCCATCCCTTTCTCTTAAGTTCGAATATTTTAGTTATAAACAAGCTATTCCAAAGTACTAATTCAGTTAGAATAGTTACTATGACATTAGTAGTTTCATGTTACTTTTATATCAGCTCTGTGGGTCAAAAGTAAAGGAAATCAGGCAAGTTCTGTATCTAAACAGAGTCAACCACATCTGACAAACTTTAAAATAGTATTTCTTCCCCTGGGAAGTAAAAGCAGCAATGTAAAGTACCCCTAAAGCAGCAGTGACTTTATGCCAGCAGCACCCACCTCTCACCACGTTGGAGGGCAGCTTCTGCCAGTTCAGCTTCTTCATTCTCAGCGTTGGTGTCTTTGCTGTCTTGTGGGGAGGCCTGCCCAAACCAAGGGGGCAGCTGTACTGGGAGGCCACCACGGCTTCTATGTGGTCTCCTGTCATGCCAGGAAGGAGGGGTGGAGGAGGAGGGATACCCCCCATGCCAGGCAATGGAGGTGGAGGGGGTGGGATACCCCCCATGCCAGGCAATGGAGGTGGAGGGGGAGGGATACCCCCCATGCCAGGCAATGGAGGTGGAGGGGGTGGGATACCCCCCATGCCAGGCAATGGAGGTGGAGGGGGTGGGATACCCCCCATGCCAGGCAGTGGAGGTGGAGGAGGAGGGATACCCCCCATGCCAGGCAGTGGAGGTGGAGGAGGAGGGATACCCCCCATGCCAGGCAGTGGAGGTGGAGGGGGTGGAATGCTCACCATGCCAGGCAATGGAGGTGGAGGGGGAATACCTCCCATGCCAGGCAATGGTGGTGGAGGAGGAGGGGGAGCAACCCCCATGCCCATGCCAGGCAGTGGGGGTGGAGGTGGAGGGATGCCAGGGACTGGAGGTGTATTTGTCATGGAGGATGTGGGGTTCATGGCTGCTGTGCCAGAGGGTAGAGGTGGTGGGGCTGGAGGTGCTGGGTTGGGAGCAGTGCTGGAGGGAGGGTTAGATTTCTCTGGCAGAGCACAGCAGGCTGTGAACTGGCAGGACGAGATCTTCTTTTCGTTGGCCAGTGGCCCTGAGGATGTTGCTGGTGCCCTGGTGGGGTTTGATGATCCCACTGGACACCGAGCTGCATGTGCACATGGCTCTGGCTCCCCCTGGACGCCTCCAGCTGCGCTCCCAGACAGGCGGTTTTCTGCTCGCTTTTGCTTGTTTGGGTGCTTTTTGATGGACAGCAGCCTCTCAATGACTTCTTCAACTGTGTTCCCTTGGACTAGAGAAACGAGTCAAGGTGAGGGAAGGGATCAGCCCACAGGCTTGTTCATGCTATTCAACCCTCATCAAGCAGCAGATCTGGAGCCAGGGAGAGCCCATTTCCTGGTGTCACTTTACACAACTACACTTTTGGCTTCTAGACAATTTCCTTCCCATGTGCCCAGCCCACAAACACTTTTGAGCATGCCTGCCAGCAAGACAGGCCAGCACCAGTGGCAGGATACCAGTGAGGACAGATTCCCACTGACTCCCATGAGCCAAAGCTCAGGGATTAACCAAACAACACTGGGAATCCCAAGCCCACTGCTAAATGTGCCACCCACATGGATGAAGCTTCACTTGACCTTATACAGAAGGTGTAGCTTCGTCCCAGCTTCTGTTCAGCTCTTACCAAATCCCACAGATTATTTTCTGCACATTGGGGAAAGACTTTTATGCCACAATAGAAAACAAGGGGGGTGTGCAAGGCTGGATGGATATGTCATTCTTACTGTCATTGGCGAGTAAAAGGGCTCTGTTCACTACGGCATCCAAGGACTCCCACAGCAGGAGGCTGGAATGGTGAGATGGTTCCAAGTGCAGCAGGCTCTGGAGGATGGACAGCAGCTGGACAGAGACTGGAGAGCGGCTCACCTGGAAGACAGAGCAGCTTCTGTCACAGCAAGGCTGGTTCTGAGCAAAGTGGATTCGCTTGGCCTTTGTGTGACCTCACACCCCACGCGAGCGAAAGCTTACTTTATTGAAGAGAGATGAAAAGACCTCATGATGATCATTCATGTTTATCCCATCACATATCCTTAGTAACTCCTCATCATCCTCTATTTTGAACTCCTCAAATGTGTCACACTGGATAAGCAGATCCTCCTCCTCGATGTCTCTGCAATATTACAGCATTCCTTTTCATTGGAGAGCCCTTCACTAATTTTCAGATGATTGTTTTCATTAAATGCCTTTTATCTCTTTGCCTCTCAGACTCAGTCAGTTGGTATAGAAAGTATCCAACTTTGCCTTATTTATAAAGGATGAGATGCCATCAGTGCATCCTTTCTTCAACTGAATGTACCTCTTCCTACAATCAACACATACAAAGGAATGGGACTTCTCATGGCATAACCTGGCCCAGTATAGGCTTGCTATGGAATTCTCCTTGGAGCTGTAGCAACAGAATGGCATTCTGACCTTTTGGAAATCAGGCTGCCACCTTTATTCTTTTAAAGTCAAGACTAACTGAAAATATTCCAAAGATGTTTCTGTTTGAAAAACCTTCTTCTCTGTTACTCAATAGTGGATTTATAAAAAAACACAGACACTCTAAAGCTGACTTTTTCAGTACTCTCAAGACCACTCAGTGTCAGAATTTTACAGTTGCTGTTCTCTGAAAAGATCTCTTCCCTAATTTTTATGGTGCTGGATGGAGCAATTCCAGTTACATGGGTAACTGCAACTCACATAAACGGCATTATAGAATTTATCACACATGTTTCTGATGGAAAATAATTTTTAAATTACATTTAGATATGCATTAATATATTGTTTTAGTTGGATGCTTCTGGGACCAACAGCAGCAGTGAAGTGCTTTTGAACACAGTGAGCTGCTCAGTGAGCCCACAGCATTGCTTCAGATTCAGTCTGAAACAGCCTCAATGAGGACACTGCTACTCCATCTGTGCCCAGAGCCTCTGTGCATGCCATCTGTGCCAACAGCTGTCCCTGTGACACTGTTGTTGGCAAGAGCCTCTTAACACTGGCCAAATGCCTCTAGCTCCCATGGAATGGGTGCATACAAGCATGGTCCACTCCACCCAGGCACACTGCACTTCACACAACAGAAGGCTGGGTAAGTATTAAGTTTCCACACCTACTTCACTGTGAATCTCATTTAAAAAAAAATTAAGTAGAGATCCTTACCTTAGCTTGTCTAAAACATCCAGCAGCTGAAGCCCTGGCAGGTGAAAAAATAAATATAGTTGAATTATGACCCACTTGGTACTTACTTGTTATGATCTTTATGTATGCTTATAAACACTTTTTGCAGCGAGAAAAAGTGAAAATATCTTCAGATGGATCTATCAAAGTAGGTAGAGTCATCTGGTAAATGATGAGACACCACAGCACATATCTGCAGCACCTGTGTGAACCACTGCACAGTCCCCTGGGGTTACTGAGGGACACAGGCACTTTTGGGGCACGAGTGACCTCAGTCACTTGAGATATCTAAAATCAGTCTGATACGCTCAAATGTTCCCTCATCTCCATGGAGAGAAATGGAGCCCAGGCTCACCAACTCAGATGTGCCCAGCATGTGAGTGAATCCCAACAATGGTACCTAGGAGCCTGGGATTCTAGCAGTTGGAAAGAACTTCTGAACCATGGGACACCCTCTGTGGCTCAACTGAGTAGACACAGAGTGAAGGAACTTTATCAACTCTTACAAGTAGTTGCAATATATGGAAATGTGACCACATAAGATGATTGGTTATAGAAATGTTCTGAAGAAGCTCAGGTGCTGCTGGGATTCCAGAAAAGATCAAAGCTATGGGAAAGCAGAAAAGTTAAAAAAATCTGTTGACAGAAAGGTTGTTGAGAATAAAGGTCAAAAGAAAGAAGAAAATTAATATTTGCAGTTTTTCTCCCTAGCCTCTTCAGGCACCTTATGGTTACATCTGAAAAAAACCCATTTGGTAACTGACTTTCTCCAGGGCGAGGTGTAACAAACATCCTTACCTATGAACTCATTTCTGATTTGTGTCCTTGTTCTTAGCTCTTCTTTCCCCAGGATGATGGCATTGATAGCACTCAGCAGTGTCACCATGTATGGCACATTGTCTGTGTTGGAGAGCTCGTTCATGATGATGCTGAATCGATACTGCTGGTTCTTCACACTCTGTTGGTAACAGAACTGATATTATGGCAAGAATGCTCTATATAGACATAAATGCCCATGACTGGGGTGCAGGTTATCAGATGGAACTGGCATCTGAAATCCTCAGTTTATCCCACTGTGCACAGGACAGGAAGACACAGGTAAAAGCAGAAGTCCCCCATTATGGAGCAGGGGCTGGTTGGCAGAGAAAGTCATTGAAAACATCTCTTGGATCCCTTTGTGCTTTCTGGTAACTGATGTATGTACCTGAGCTCATGGGCACTGAAACCTGTGGATGTGGCACCATTTATTCTGCTGATCTGGTGGTGATTTTGCTGTCATAAAGCACCTTGTGGTTGGCAGTCATCTGTCCACACAAGTCACAGAACAGCACTAGAAACCTACACTGACCACACAAAACTTCCTACAGCTTTCATTTTATAAGCCCCTACTTCTCTTACCAAAACAATGCAAAATAAACTTTTTTCCCACCCTTTTCTGTGGTACATGGATCTGTCTGCATGGATCAAAGCTGAGCCATTCCTCCTGCTCCAACCAAACACTTGCCTTGTAATGGTCCAAGGCATCCAGAGCCAAAGAGTGGCCATCTGATGAGTAAATGCACAGTGCAGCCAGGAGCTCAAATATTTGCTTTTTGACCATGACATTAGTTGTGTCAAGTGCTGTAGGGAAAACAGAAAACAAAGCAGAATTTATAATTACATTAATGTTCTGAATCTCAGTGTCTTCTGCTACATGGATTATGAGCAGTAGTAGAAAAGAGACTGAAGGAGGGGACTCATTATAATGGAAGATGGGAAGAGAAATTTCTTAATGTACAGGTATCCCATCCAAACAACACTATGTGATGGTAACTCCTAGTGGGAACAGTAAATGCTACAGGTATCTCATTGGCATTTTGGTTCATCTTTTCCATGTCCTAGTGACATGCTGCAAGAGCAGTCAAAATTTTTCAGTGCTCACAAAACTTATTTCCCATTTTCACATATGGGTATTTTCTAGAACAGCAGATGAACAATTTTCTTTGATTAATGACTCTTATCTTTAGTGCAGAAAAGCTCAATATGCATATGAGTTAGAGAAATTGTTCCAATGGGTCCCCATGTATTCCCTTTTTGCACTACTCTTTCTCTGTGAGCCCTGGGAGCTGGGAAGGAGTGCATTAAGCTTTCTTATTTTTCCTATATTAAAGCACAAAGAAGCTCCAACACTGTAAAGTCCAGGATACTCCCCTGTTTTCACAGTACAAAAATGCCAAGTCCATTTTTATATAGAAGGAAAGAATTTCTTTTATATAAGAAAACTCAGGGTGAAGAGAGGAACAAAGTCAGCTTTCAGAGTAAATGCATTTTTAAAAGCTATTAATAAGGGTTTCTGGGTACAGCTGCAATCTCTGTGGAGCAGCACAGAAGTTATGCTTATAGCACCAGCACCATTAAGTGCTGCACAGTAAGTTCTACGAGATGAATTTCTAAGCCAAAAAGGAGCCAAGTGAATGGCAGGAGAATGTAAGTGGTGCTACCCACCATCTTCCAGAAGGAGCAGGGTGAGCAGCACAGAGAGCAGGCTCTTGTGAGTCCAAACATGCCACTTTCCCTGCTCTTTATGGGCTACAAGACTCCAAGCCCTCTCAGTTCCTCTCTTCTGCCCTTGGGGCTCTCAAAGACTGAATAGCAAGTGTCTGCTGACAACCAAAGGTGCTGAAGATTTCTCATGCCTCTATACAGACAAGGCTGGGTTTATCCCCAGCTTCTCAGTAAACTATGACAGTATTTGTGTGGCAATAGCACCGGGTGGCAAAGGCAATGTGATTTCATGGCAGTTTTATTTCAAAGAAGAAAACAACCTCATTAATCCATTGTGACCATCCATTTCCAACTATCCTGCTGCAGGGCAGGAGGATAAGCAACAGGAAAGTGTCCCCCCTGATGCCCCACGTGATGGATGAAGATGTCTCCTCACCTTGGAAGAGTTTTCTGACGTAGCCCTCGTTGCTCACAATGTATTCTATGCCTTTGTGGGAGTTCATGACTGCTCGCACACAGCTAATGCAGGTGAGCTGAAGCAAGGCATCAGATATCCTGGCCACTCCTCGCCCAGACAGCCTGTCCAGGGCCTCCAGGAGGAGATCCAGCCCAGACAGCTCCAGGAACTGAACCATCCAGGCATCGTCGCTGTTCTCCAGCCTCTTCTTCAGCCCGGAGTAATTCACCACGGAGGGCATTTGCAGGAGGCGGATGCACAGCTCTGGCTCTGCATTTTCCAGGTTGGCCTCTGACTGGTCGGTCTCCTGGGGTCCCAGTTTCTCCTTCAGGGCAGCCCACTTCTTGTGGGCACCTTCCTTTTTGATTGACATCATGAAGGGTTTGTTCTGAAAGAAAAAGAAAAGATAAAGTGAGAAGTTTGTCTGGAATGACCAAAAACTATCCTGCTTTTTCTCCATCAATTGGGATGTAAAGCTCAATTACAGCAGGTGGTCCCAGCTCTCCAGCATGTAGGGCACACACTGCAACCAGTCTTTGCTGAAGACACTCAATATATCCCCACCTTAACCACACACATTACATTCAGGCTCTGAAGACTGTGGAGAGACTTTTAGCACATTCAAACCACCAAATACAGCTTTAAAAGTAGCCAATTTACACCAGTCAATTGCCACTACCTATTTTCATGCAGTAAAAGAATAAGGTTGGGAACAGCATTATCAGCTCTGAACACCTAATGCCCATTAAACCACTTCAAAATCTCACTGTGCTGGAGAGGCTGTGCAGTTTCTAAGCATTTGTAATGGGATGGAGAAATCATTTTGAGCATATCCTGTTCCTAAGAGCATCTGATTACCCTGTTCCTTTTTTGCTTTTGTTTCTTTTGACTGATGTTGAGGTTAATTTTATAGCACTCACTTAATCCCTTCCTGTCTGCTGTAATAGCAAATGTGTTTGTACACATGGTATTTATGCTTGATAATGTGAGAGCCTGACAGGCTGTGAGGCAGGTACAGCAGCAGGAGGCTGCCTATGAAAACAGCAGAGCACCTTTTTGGAGATGAGGAGCAATGGTCCCTCTCCCTGGAGGACATGGCCTGTCCAGCCAGCCATCAGCAGCAAGGTAGGCCAGGAACTGATGCAGAACAGAGAAAGTGCAAGGCCAAGTGTAACTCTTGGTGCCAGATTTTATGGTTTTAGGCAGGATTATTATTTTTCAGACTCACAGGGATCAAGTCATACAATGCAGGTCCTTTTCAAAGCTGCATGCAATCGTTTTGGCCACTGAGATTAGCTCAGCTGGTCAGAGCATGGTGCTAATAATGCCAAGGTTGTGGATTTGATCCCCATATGGGCTGTTCACTTGGATTTGATGATCCTTGTGGGTCCCTTCCAACTCAGAATACTCTGCGAATCTGTGATTCTGTTTTACGTTGAATTGCTCCCATAGATGACAGTTTGCCCCACAAAAATTGAGGTTACCTCCTCGTCCTGCCACACCACCAGTACCTCTGTTCCCCTGGGCTGCTGAGCCTGCACAGAGCTCAAAATAACCTGGGGCCAGTTGGCCCCAAAACTCAGCAATTAGGGGACTGAAGGGATTATGGGAGACTCCTATTTTCCCTTCCCAGCTCGAGCACAAGGCTTTCTAGCCCAGCAGTGACTAGAGAAAATGCTTGAAAAATCTAACTAAGTAATCTCTGGAAGGGTTTTTTTTTTCCCGGAAAGGAAAGATAAAGGATGGACCCTTTACACTAGTTGGAAAAAATTTCATTTTAAAGCCTGCCTTGTGATTTTTCCTGGGGACTGTACCACTGAGAAAGGTCCTGGCTTCTTCCCCACAGCAGAGCTGACGGCTTCTGTTTTACCCAGAGTCATTTTGGCAATCTCTCCTTGGCAAATATACAGCCAAAAGATTTGCTTACTGATTAGTGACAGGCATGATGTTATAGGCCTAAATATGCCTCTTGGAAAGATGTAAAGTGTGATGGGGTAGGACATTTGAAAAATTTCCCTGAGAAAATGTGGTAGTGGGACTTTCTGGCAGCTCACAGCATCAAAGCCTGCATTGAGAGGTCAGAGGGGTGGAAGAGTTAGCAGGATATGGTGACAGAAAATCCATTTAGAGAGCTCTGGAAAAACCCTCTTGCAGAGTTTTCTTTTGCTTCAGTGGGAAAGAAGCTGGCCAAGCACCCAGTTGCTCCCTGTTCTGTTAGCTGAAAAAATGATGGTCACGATCCAAAAACATGAAGTGGCAAATATACCATCTGAGAACACACTGTACAGCTGAAAAGTGATAAAAAGGATCATAAAAAAACCAACCCAACCAATCCCCAAACAAACCTCCCTGCCAAAGCACAGGCTTGAGTTTCCAAGATTTGTCATCACTCCCTGCAGCCCAGAGCCCTTACTCACTCTTGGTAAAATTCTTGTTGGGATTAGTCAACCCCAGTCCCTCCCCTGTATTCAAGCCCAGGAATTTGGGTTAGGCTTGATGCAAAGAGAAATCCTTCCCACTGGAGGGAGAGAAGCAGAAGTTTCCTGCCTCAGGTTCACAGCCCTGAGGATGGGGCAGCATCCTACACCTCTCACCAGTCATGGTGGCTGCAGATCTACAGACATGGGGCTGGAGAGATCCACCTGCAGCCAGATTCCCCCCCACACTGTGCATGGAGCCCAGCCATCCCTTTCCAGTGCTGGGGTCAAGCTGGACCTTCAGTGCAGGGCAGTTCTGAGGACCATGTCACCTGGGTGCTGGCCAGCCCATGGGGCTGCAGAAGCGGCTGCACTTCTCTTGTGTGACTTCTTTTTACACTCAGCAAATCACTTTTTTCATTTGAACACGACTAAACATTTCTTATCCAGCCAGATAACACAGCAGGCTGACTTTTTGCTCCCAGATGTATGAATGCCTCATTATATTGTATTTGTATTAAATTGTAACAGCTACAGCAAGTCAGAGAAATTACAACAGCATTATTGACCTCAGGCTTAGCTGATTCCTGAAAATTAAGCTCCACCAGTGCAACAGGAGACAGGAAATACCGAAAGAGCATCCTGTTTACCAGCAGATTTGTTGTGAATTATCCTTCCCTCCCACCTGCTCTGCACAGATGTGAAAAGATGAGAAACAGAACCGGGTAGCACCTCTCCAAACAGTCCTGGCTTGTGTTTTTATGCACTAAAATGAACAAACTGGATTGATTAAATATTCCCTACAGAGAGTGCACTCTTTTTGTAGGAAAGGATAAAGGTAGCTAATGTATCTAATTGTAAAAAGGAAATAAAATAAACAGGAGCTGTACTATATAAATGGAAAGGAAATGAATATGGAGGAGATGGCAATACAACTCTGCAGATGGCGTGATAAATCTGTTTACAAACACAGATATGAGTGATATATTGTGAATGCAAGATCTTTCCATATTTTCCATGAAGCAAAGTGCTGCAAAGATGTTCGGATACATCCTTAAAGGGCTGCTGGTTTTGCCTTTTATCTCTGACCACAGGAGCTTGTTAGCAGGTAAATGATCTCAGCAGAGTGAGACAGACAAGGACTGAAATGGAACACATCTATCTAACTGGCTCACAGAGGCTATTTAGACTATGCTGGCTGAGGGAAGGAAAGTGCTCTGACAAAACCGGACAGGACAGATGAATACACCCCACCTCTTGCCAGCAGAAGGCCATGGGGAGCTTTGCTTTTTGTTTCCCAGGACAGAGAGGGGGCTGTGATGGTGGCAGCAATGTCCCCAGACCCTGTGTCTGACCATGCCTGCAGCACCCATGCTCTGCCTCCCCAGCTGCCTGCTCAGCACTGGGGCTGGGTGCTGCTCCCTTGGGCACAACCTGACAGTGAGTCTGTGCTTGCTGCTGTGGGGACACTCACAGCCTCAACCAAGAATCAAAGAATACTTTAGGTTAAATTAAAGACCTCTAAGATCATCAAGTCCAACCATTAACCCAGCACTACCAAGCCCATCACTAAACCATGTCCCCAAGTGCCACATCTGTGTCTTAACTGCAATCCTCTGCTCATCTTCTCACCCTCAGAGGTTGGTTAGCCCTGATGGAGAATCACAGAATGTTAAGGGGTTAGAATGGACCCTAAAGATCCTCTAGTCCCATCCCCCTTACCATGGGCAAGGGCATCTCCCACCAGACCAGGTTGCTCAAAGCCCCATCCAGCCTGGTCTGGATGCCAGGGCTGTGGCATCCACAACCTCCCTGGGCAACCTGTGGCTAGCTACCCTCACAGTAAAAAATCTCCCCCTCTTTCAAGCTGTACCCATTACTCCTTGTCCTGTCACTACAGTTCCTGATGGAAAGTCTCTCTCTGCCTTCCCTGTAGGCTCCCTTCAGATACTGGGAGGTTGCTGTAAGGTCTAAAGCAGCATCAATGTAAAATGTAAAAACTCTTAATTTTAGGAGATTCCTTTGGGAAACATAAAGGTATCCTGAGGGCTTGTGCTCTTGCACGTAGCAATAGCAACATCACAATTCATGGTGCCAACTCCTTGGATCACTGGGTTTGCAAAGTTATAACGTTCTCTGCATACATCCAACCTGGTCTGTAAAATTTCCTCCTCCTTTCTTTCTAAATCAGGTGCTTCCCAGATTCAGTTTTCTGTGCCTCTCTGTCCTTCAAGTCCACTCCTAGGGAGATGACATCTGTGGGAGATAAATCAGGGCACATCAATACTTCCTCCATCCTGTGAAGCTGTGGAGAACAGAGCTGCACAGCACAGCTTTCAGTCTAAATTATTGCATGCCTCCAGGACGACACGGATCACAGCAAGGACTGGGGAGGACATGTAAAAAGAGATTTCTCAGGGCAGCTAAGTATAATTGAGTGAAAACGAAAGGGAGAAAAACTGCAGGTCAAAACTATTCTGATTTTTTGGGGAGCAGACCCACTGCCTATGCAGAAGAACGAGACTTTATGGCTGGTGTGTGTGAGGGGGAACAGCAGCTCATTTGAAGAATTCTGGGAGCATCCCAATCCCACATGCTGCCCTCACAGCCCTCTGCTCCCCTCCACAAGGCTGGCAGGGTGAGAAAAGCTCCTTTATGCTGCTGGTCCCCTTCCCTTCCATGCTGTTCCTGGCACTCAGGAGCGTGTTCTGCCTGGCTGGCTGCTAATGACAGGTTTCACTTCTGGGTAGTTCCAGTTTTCCCTCTGCTGCTGGGCATATGCCAAGCCTTTGTATTTTGCAACATGTCAGAATACTCAGTCCCTATAAAGAAACAACATCCTGGCTTTGTGCTTTCCAAAATCCCTTCTTGAAATGTGATGTGTTTCCTTCCCCTCTCCTTTTGCTTTCATTTGTGCCGTTGTTTTCCTATGCAGTGTTGGAAGAGCTCACCCACATAAAGGCCAACAAAC